GTAACCAATGATAATGCCTTAACTTCGATGCGTGCAATTTCGGGGGCGATTTCGAACAGTTTTCTTTTTAACTGTTGCCCCCATAATAACATTTTCGGAAGCTCTTTTTGGAACTTCGGGGGCAATTTCGCCCGCCGCTTCCGTGTATTTTTTCCACTGCTGTGCGCTATTGTCCCAGACATAGCGAACATGTTTCTTTATAATTTTACCAACAGCGCGGCGATTCGCACGAAATTGTGTATATGGGAACGGTAGTATGATGCTAAACCAAGAAATGAGCGAATTTGCTTAACTGTTTTTGGCGGTTTTAAATTATGTATTGCCGTAATCTTTTTGGGGTTGGGTGAAATGCCGGCCGCTGAGATCGTGTGACCTAGATAAAGAACAGTTTCTTTAAGAAAAACAGACTTACTAGGATTTAATTTCAAATGTGCAGAACACAAGCGATCGAACACAGTTTGTAGGTCTCGTATGTGCTAAAAAAAAGGAAAAGAAAATAATGATGTCATTGATATAAGGAATAGCACATGTGTCATGTAAACCTGTTAAAACTCTATTTAATCATTTTTGAAGGACGCTAGGCGCATTTTTCAAACCAAATGGTAATTTTTCGAGGTATGACTTGAATTATGTGTAACTATACAAGTTTTGTGTTTGTCGATTGGATCCATAGGTATTTGAAAATACCCGCTCTTTAAATCTAAAGTGGAAAAACACTGAGCGTTACCAAGAGATGCGAGTATGTTCTCTATTCGCGGGAAAATGTATACAATAAACTTAGTCACCCGATTAAGTTGCCTGTAATCGACAATCATCCGACCCAGTGAATCATGTTTTTTTGTAACTATAAACACGGGACTTGACCATACGCTTGAGCCCTCTGAAATTACGCCAGCTCGTAAAAGTCTGTCTATATGTGTTTGCAATGCTTGGCGTTGTAACAAAGGTGTACGATAAGCTTTTTGTGCTATGGCCAGGTCGCCTTGTGTATCGACAGCCATGGTAACAAAGTGTGTACCTGGTCTGAGGTCACCATCTTTAATAGCAAACAAGTCTGCATTGTGTGTAATTAGCGAGCGGATTTCTGTAAGTTGTCGACTGCTGAGATGTTCCAATTTTAAACACTTGATAATTTCGACTCATAACGCTGTGTGCGAGCTCGTTAGGCGGCAATGAGGTGCCATTGTCAACAACGCTCAGCCGCTCCGAGTCACTGCTGACTGGTTTACGCGGCGTGCTTACGACCGGTCTGCCCATGTTGACTGACACAACAGGGTGGTTTTTAAGATTGGCGTGCGAAATGACAGAAGGGGTAGAAAGTGGAGGGGAGAGTGTGAAAGTGGTTTGAACAATATTGACATGCGGAGGGTGTTCTACATGGGGGGGCGGAGGCTTATATATATAGAGAGCTATAAAGAGACACAGCTGTGGTATTATTAGTAAATGTTACAGATAAATTAATGAGAGTGCGCGGAAAAGGTGCTTGAGACGCTGCGGCGTGGGAAACATACATAGGTTGCGTATGAGATACAAGTGGTTTAGTGCTGACAATAGGTGCAAATGTGATGGGAAAGCTAATGGACATTAGCAGCATGCATACGGCGTGGGAATCATGTGTGCGGCCGCGGGAGGGTGTGGAAGGGAGATTATGCAACGTGCTTGAAGCATGGGTATGGGTCAAGCGTGTTGACGAAAGACGGGGTGGGGAATTTGGGCGTGAAGTGAAACATTTATGGCGTGGATAATTGGTGTGCGGGTGAAACACTTGTACTGGGTGGCATCAACAACACAGGAGGGGAGTAGGTGTAACGAGTGAAGATGTACGCAGCTGCAGGGTTGTTCCTCTAATTACGTGTAGCAGGCGAGATTACGGATTATACAAAGGAATAACGATACGCAGATGGTTTGGGTGGGGAACTGGTGGCTGAGTATGCGAAGACGTAGACAATAAGTAAACACAGTGGACACCACGAGTTGCTTTTGGGGGCAACACAATGGATTTACACAGCGTGACACGTGCACAGGAAGCAGTTGCATATGTTAACATACGCACAGTGGTATTATTAATCGTTAGCAAATTATGTGCGCAATTTAAATTAATGCGATGTCGCGTCATAAAATTAAAACCAAGTAATGCCGTATGTGTGAAATTATGAACAATATAGAATACCTGAAAAACAGTATGACTAGCAATTTACACCGGTAAATTTACGCGACCCAGCACAAACAAATGGTGACCGCTTGCTGAATTTAGAATTTGCGTACTATCCCGAGAAAAATCTTTTTGATAACGTTCTTTTAATTCAGCCCACAATTCGTTATTAAGTAGGGAAACAGGCGACCCTGTATCCAGTAAAGCGTTTACAGAAACATCCCCAAATTTGACATAGCAACACGGTGTGGTATTGTCATTAAAAGCCGATGCAGGCCTGTGCATTCGATCGTGAGACTTTTCTACTATCGAAGCAACTTTCAACGTCTCGTCATGAACGTAGCATTTGCATTTACCCACGGCGTATACGAGGTAGGTCCCCGTTGTTGAAGATGGCAGTTTCTCTACATATGTCAGGATTGATTAGATAAAGCACAGATAGGGCGGTTGTCTGGCGTGTATGAATAACGGGTATTTGGTGCTGGAGTGAACGGTAGCTGGCGTGGTGGGTATGGAGGCGGTGATTGAAACGACCGTGACTGAAAGGATTGAAGGCGTTGCGGAGCGGAGCGGTAGGGATAAGATGGTGGCGGAGGTGATTGATAAGACAAAGGTGAACAGTCAAATTGTCATGGGTTAGACATACGTGTATTATAGCGTGGTGGCAGAGGCGTGAATTGCCCCGCGCGCCCGCTATTAGCAGTCCGCGTATTTACATTGTCAGCTGCAGCCTCAGCCCTGCGTGTTTGCGATAAATCAGCTACGATTTGTCTCAAATCCGCTATCTGCTGTTGGATAGTCTGTGCATTAGTCGCCGTAATTTGTGAAACCTCGGTAATTTCAGGCTTCTGTGAGCGAATTCTCACTTCCAAATCACGCGCACTTTCAGCATTATCCAGTTGCACAGCTTTAATAAAAGATGATGGTTTTTGCCAAACTAACGTACGCTTTAGAGATTTGGACGAAATACCATCAATAAGTTGTTCAATGAGTCGAATATTGCGAACCGTATCCGTGTCAGTAATGATACCGAACGCAAATCGTGCATGGTTCTCCAAACGTTTGGCAAACACCTGCACCGACTCAGACGAGCGTTGCTTAGCTTTCTTAAACTTTTGTAATGCTACAGGTACCTCACTCGAATCCGTATATTGTTGTTGCAAAATATGTATAAAATGTGCCCATTCAATAGCCGGTTAGGCCTTACATGGTAAAAATCTCCACAGCATAACTAGCCGGCTCATCACTGAGTAAACGCAGCGCAAGTTGAACACGACGTTTGTCAGTTGTTTCATCTAATATAAGTAATAACTGGTTAAGCGATTTCAGCCACTCTCCAAAAGAGACCGGGCTATCATCACAACCATTGAATGTTGGGTAACCTCCCAACAACAATAAACTTTGAACTTCTTTAATTAATTGTTTCATACTGCTTGTTGGAAAGGAAACCTCGTCATCCTCGGAGGAAACAGATTCCACCGGACGATCAATGTTAATATCAGACAGGTGTTACGGATCTTGAAGTTGCTGACGAGGGTTTGCCATGACGAACACAATGGTATGGTTACAAAAAGGAGGGGAACGAGTGAAAATGAAAGACAAATTAGACAGAGAGACGACAGGCAGGAAAAGCAGTGGCTAGAGTAGTAAAATCAATGAAGGCTTGATATTCACGATATCATGTAGTATACGGCATACGCTCCGCCAAAATATGCATCAGCAATCGCATGAAAAAATACAGAAATATGCAGACAACGAACTCCGTAGCTATTTACAAGAATAACGATGCACTGTCTGCGACGACAATGGTGAAACACACGGTGGTGCGGTGATGTTCAAACACTTTTGACAACTCTCAAGAATGAACGGTTGTTCGTGTGACAGAACCACTCAGTGTAAAAAAAAACACATATGTTTACACATAGTAAATCAACATAGCAATATAGCAACATCCTAAAAAGACGTTTAGCAACATCGAAAAAAGAACATCGAAAAAAGACGTTTAGCAAAATGTACGCGCTGGTCAAGCACCAGTGTAGGGATGAGCATTTGCTACCCGTGATCGTATTAGTGTTTAATCGTGAGTGTTTATGTTACACCCTTTGCTAACGTCTATCAAACACAGATTATAAGGAACATATAACAACAATGGTGTACGATATCCAGTTATTCTCTTTAATTGCTCTGCCTTAACTATGTATACGCCCATAGCAGGGCAACCGCGTACACTAGAGGTGCCGAGTAACATCATAACTTATGAGGTTATTGCTGTGTCGCACTATTCTCTAACCAATGCGTAGTATATCTCAACCCTCTCTTTCTCACTCTCTCTCCGATCCTGTCTCTAGTCAAACACGCGGTTATATACCGACATTTGTAGACCCGCCTACCTATTGTTTCTGGTCACTCCGTTTTACGCTACTGCCTGTAATTGGCTAATTCTACCACTGTCTAGTCCAGAGTTATAACTTTACACAGCTAGCCTGTATCCCAAAATAGAACAAATGCTTAGTCATGTGTATATTTATTTCTGTCTTTCCGCGGTATTACATTATTATCATTATAATGGCGACACGTACAGCACACTCGCAGCGGCGAGTGCGGGAGCGTTCGGCGTTAGTTTTTATAAAGGAAAGTTGATATACAGTGACACAACAGTGGAACTGTAATTGAGAGGTACGGTAGTATTTGTATGTAACATGTGGTTTTCAGATGTTACATTTATTAGTAATTGTAGATAGACTTAACTTTAGCTGTAAATAGCCTTGGGCTGGGTAGAGTCAGTTAGTTAGCATGTAGGTTAAAACTAGGTTGCGTGTGTGATGTAGCGTGTAGTTTAGGGATTTAGTCTAGACGGGGTAGATTGATTACATATGTTTATGCACATGTGGGTTTTGGCGCGAACCAGGTGAACAAAGAACGGGTAGTCGTGCTTGATTGGCTGGAAAGAGTTTAGCTTGTTTGTGATTGGTGGGGATTTGAATATAAATAGAGATTTCGGGGAGTCGATGGGACTGGACTTGACTGGAGGGGAACAAAGACGAACGAGACTGAAAAGCTGGCATCCGTGTGGCGTGTACTGTTAGCGACCTGTAGCATTTGTAAGCAATATATATCTTTTGGTGAACACAAATTATATACTTTGACTTTGATTATTTTACTCTAAATTCTTTCATTCAAACCCTTGTGTAACTTCTATGCTACATGTCAATGTGCGTTCATATTATTTTCAGTTTTTACTGACTGTCCTAAGTGCCTGTGGTCGGCTGGTCGCCCACGGAGTCTCCAACTCCACTGCCAAGGTTTGTCTACTCAGTACTATGCTCACCCACGACCTCACATGATTTCTGTCTCTCTGTCACGTCTGAGTACAGTACTGGCTCTGATTCCCTCTCGTGTAGTTTCTGTCTCTCAGTTACCACCAGCCAGCTTCCGTGCTAGCTACGGTTTCTTTCCAGTACAGTACCTTTCAGCTAATGCAGCGATAGTTGATTTTATGCAACGTGTGCACGCATCACTACCCTTCTCCGCAGCTAAATGTTATTTAACTATTTTTAGTTAGTGCAGGTCATAAAGCTAATGAACTCGGCTTATCATGTGTGGTGCTTCATCTTATGAAATGATCTACAAGAATGGCTGTTGCTGTGTTGCAGTTTACTGGTTCGTTGTCTGACACACTGGGAAAAGTTTCTATGGATCAGAGACACCAGGAGATGCGCGAGGAGGTCAGAGTGCACTCTGGTAGCAGTGGGGCACATCTAAAGGCTGGACTGCAGGGCCTGGGAATTGGAGTCGTTGGCGGTCTCGCGGGCGTATTTATGCAGCCCATAGAGGGTGCTGCTAAGGATGGAGTCGCGGTAGGTTAAGAGGTCTATAATAAAGTTGAGAACTAAACCGTATTATAGAAAATGAAAAAAGCTCATTTTTAGCTCGCCTTGACATCGACAAGATGAGCTATTGTCATGGGGTGTCGTCCGTCTTACGTCCGTCCATCCGTCAACATTTGGCTACGATCAACGATAACTCAAGAACCGTTTAACCCACATGTTTCAAATTGCATATAGTTGTTACTCCTATCCGAGAGGTTTGAACGTCCTATTTTGGAGCACGCCCGGCGACCTACTTTCGAGCCACGTCCACTTTTTGGCAAGAGGAAATGAACATAAGTCAGTTCAGTTTCAACGGATTTTGCTCATTTCTAGTATGTGAATGCATATAAGGACTGGCCCCAAAACATATCACACAGGTTTTTATATTTTTTTTAATTATGCAAATTAGGTAGATTTTGGCAATTTCACTATACATTTCAGTGTCTGCCTACGTTCAACGATAACTCAAGAACCGTTTGACCAACATGTTTCAAATTGCATACAGTTGTTACTCCTATGGGAGAGATTTGAACGTCCTATTTTGGAGCGCGCCAGTCGACCTACTTTCGAGCCACGCCCACTTTTTGGCAAAAATTAAAATGGCCATCTAAATTCATTCGACTATGTTAAATTTTGGTATGTGAATGTGTAAGGCTAGCCCCAAAACAGTTGTTACTCCTATGGGAGAGATGACAACATCCTATTACGTTTATTTCGTCTAACTGGTTAACAACTCTACAATCGTACCTATATACGTGTAATATTGTATTTTAGATTCTTCGTTACAGTAATTTGACTGGAATATTTTATTGTTTTTATTTGCGCAATATTCGAAAACCAAAATGGCGATCATTTAGGCGTAGCCCCATCTCTCGTCAAGATTTTAGACTTTCAGATCCGAAACATTTATTTTCGCATCAAAACTTATGCATATATCATTATCAAGAGTAGCTATGTTATATAATGGGAGTTCTCCCATATATACTCTTGCTTTATATACCCCCTTCCTCTTCTATCACACCCCAGGTGAGCTACAGTGTCATTGACACTATCATTTGTTTGTACATTGAAATTGCTACAATGTGTCTTGGAATTTTGTCAAGGGTCTAATTACGGGGCTTGGAAAGGGGCTTGCTGGGGTGGTAACCAAGCCAACGGTTGGGATTTTGGACATGGCTTCTGGTACAGCACTCGCCATCAGCAAAGGTAGCCGCAGCAATAGCCAGCAAGAGTTCCAGGTACTACAACAATCTCAGCACATTCAGCATTAAATTCTAAAAAGAATTTTAGGCCTAATGAACCACACATTAAACCTGAATCAAAATTCAAAACAAAAATTGGGACACTTAAAGAGCATGGCATAAATCACCAATATGTTACAAGACAATGTATAATGCAATCTGGATGTGTTTCATCGGCATGTGAGTTGCAGTGAACATATATATGTTACACACTCAGTATAAAATGTAATGTTAAATCAACATTTATGAAAGCACTGAGCTCGCACAGTAAAGACGTGTTTACATATAAACTATTCGTCCTTGCCACACTGATTAGCCACACCATGCAATATGGCACAGGTTGGTTGCGTTACAGTACTATTTTAGTTTGTACATTATATTGGTGCTGATCATCGGTCATTTGTCTGCACGACAGCGTGTTCAGCCGACACGTTGCAGCTCTGGCGTCGGAGGCTCGTTGGCGGCGGACACGTTGCAGTGCTCCTCTCAGGTGCAGGCTGAAGACCAGCGCTACTCTCAGGTGCAGGCTGAAGACCAGCGCTACTCTCAGGTGCAGGCTGAAACTCTCAGGTGCAGGCTGAAGACCAGCGCTACTCTCAGGTGCAGGCTGAAGACCAGCACTACTCTCAGGTGCAGGCTGAACAACAGCGCTTCCTCTTTAGCCTCAACCGCAACAACTACAGCGAAATGTGAGCGCTTACATAATTTAATAGATAAATAAAATAAAATATGGTGATTGAAAAGATAACGAAATCATTATTAAATAGATTCTCGGTTTGCGCAACGATATCTAACTATTTCTATAACCAATTCCTACAGTGCTGTAGAACGACAGAAGTTTACCACTTTTGCAAAGAAGATATTGTGGTTGTTGAGATGATAATGTAGCCGTAGCGTGTAACGTACTCATGGTTGTGCAATTCTCCACATATAGGTTGATTGCATATGAACAAACAGGCGTTGCGCAACAGATCCACTGTCTCATCACCAGTGAGAACGTGTACTTCCTATGCGGCCCACGTCAACATAAGAACATCTTTCTGCTGGTGAGCATGTCAGAGCTGCAGCAGTGCCACCACAGATCGGAGGGTTGCGGCACCGGCAGCAAGCACTACATAATATTATGTAAGTAACACAGTGCTGCCATCTGTCCCGAACTTTAAATAAATAATTACAGGCTTATAGTAGAGCATCTGATATACATTTGGTTGAATCCGTCATGACAATACTCTGACAACAGTTTGCTAAAAAGGCAGTCCACCATTGGCTATTAACCATGTAATAGTATCTACGTTGGGTTGGGGCAACTTCCTTTGCCCCCCCCCTTTCTCCCCACCCCACTAGCCACGCCCCTATGTGTATATTGGATATTTTTATTATACTGATGAGAATGCACCTTAAGTCTTCTCATGCGATCATTTCGCTGATGACAGACCTGAGCAAGAAGCCGAACGTGCAGCAGCTCGTTGACTATGGTGATCCGGCTGACGACCAGCAGTCACCAGCCGTGGAGTGCGCGAGCGGAGCTGTTGCCAGCAAGATCGCTAACAAGATCAACTACGCAAAGAACCTCTATCAGGAGCGCATGCAGACACTGATGACCGACGAAGGGCCGGACAACGCGTGGTAGTGGAAGCCGTCATATGGAGGGTGATAACATCACACAAAGGGTGGTGATGTTACACAAGGTGCGATGACGTCACACAATAGGTGATGACATCACACAATGGGTGATGATGTCACACAAAGGGTGGTTACACCACAATGAGGGTGGTGACGTTACACTGAATGGCAGACATCACGTGGAAGGTGTTTACGTAATACAAAAGGTGGTGATGTCACATTGAGGGTGGTGACATTGATGTGATACAGAGGGTGGCAGACGTCACATAAAAGCATCGAGGGTGGTGACATCACATAGAGAAATAGAGAATGATAACGGTGACATAGCATCTGTGCATGTCTGCTTGTCACATCAGGAATTATGAAAACAAATTTTGGCCAAATATTTCAGGCTTACCCAGGTAGGAGGGCAGAGAAGGATTAGAAACCAACCCCCATCTAAGACAGAATAACTAAGCATTATCGATTTAGTTACGAGGTGCAACCACGTCTCTTGATATTATCATGAGATTTCAAAGTCGAACACATGCACCGGCATAAGTTGATAACAGTAAATAATATGGGCATGTGGATAGAATCATATAATTGGCATAAATATGTAGATAGACGGCATGTGATAATTACATTAAATGTGAAGTATACAGGTATACATAGATCAGGGATGTGCAAATTTGTCATCTGTTAATAAGTAATGAAGATAGTTTTGAAGTGTCATGATGAGCAAATGGTTTTTATGTGCACAACAGTTTTGCTTACTAGTCTTTGCTCTGCATATTTGGGTAGTCGGCGAACAAAGTTATCCTGAACTGTGATAGTTAAAACATGCTCAAGCATATGCCCTAGGTGTAGAAAGCAAAATTATTTCTGAACGCAGTCATTACGTGGCATACCAGTTGTTGTAATGAGGGAGTGGACATAACAACTGTCATCGCAAGACTTTTTGGGGTGAATGCTCACTCATGACAACAATGTCACCTTGGAGCATAACTTTTTTGTATAAACTTGTGCTATCATTGGCAGCTGCAATCATCTAGTGGTGGAATGGCTGTGTGCAAAACCTAAAGTGCCACGATATCCGTGATTGTAGATCAATAATAGACTGTTATTCTTAAATGACAACTGCTGAATCATTAATAGTCTAGAGGACAGGCAAAAATGTAGAATGATCTCAATATATGCAAGTTATTTGCAGGAACATTAGTATTCTGTATGTAAAATACTGTGAATGCTTTTAAGGATAAACATATTTGATACTTTATTCTTAGGTGACTTTGGTGATAACAGCTTTGTTCTGTTTTCTTTTACTCATCAAAGGGATACCTGCATAATTTCTTACGATTGGGGACACCTACCTAGGGGCATTACAACCAGCAGTAACATGTTGACAGTAATTAGTAACATTCATGTTATGCCAAATGTTCATAGTTTGTTGTCATTCACTAATTGAGGCTTGAAAAATGAGAGCTCGCTAGTCCGTACCTAACTGATCTGGATTTTTGCTATCCTTGTGTAAACGTAAGATCAGCACGCCAGAAGACAACAGAAAGTACATTGTTGAGCGTTAATCTTGTAGGGTATTTTAATGGCGATTCATTTGACCCCCTGGGGATTACATTGCAGTAAACCAGCTGGGGGAACCAGGCTCGAAGTACACCAACGTCCGGAAGAGTAAATCTATTGGAAAACAACAACCAGACAACGAAATTCACTATGGCAGCGAAAATGAGAGAGAACACATTCTCTAACCCGAGCATGTCGGAAGTGACGCAACTTGTACGCATTGGCTATTGGCTATATCTCCTTGGCCAAAAAGGGCAATCTTACTACTTACAATAGGCATGTGTAGCACTCCACGACACAAAGGGGTAATCTCAAATGTTTCAGGTGGAGTATCGCCCACACTCCCCCACTTAAATATTGTCATCTCTGACAATATTAATACAAAAAAACAGAAGTAGTAATCAACAGTAATATTTCAAGTAATAACTATGACGAAGTTCTTGGCTTCACACCAGCCAACATCTGAACCAAAAGCAGTTGAGTCTCACTGATGTTTGCTAGAACCCGTGCATCTGCAAAACTCACTACGTCCTGATTAACTGCAGACACCGGTAATTTATGCACATTCGAATGTGATCCTGCTGTAGAACGCGTAGATTTATGTGTCGTTGTGACATATTCACACCCTGACTGTGCATCAAGATCTCCTTTATGTTCTTCA